CCTAACCCCCAAGGACCCAAAAGCTATTGGGTACCTCAATGGTATTACTAGATACACAAAAGGGTGTGCTTGAAGACTACAAACCTGTAGTGGATGCTCCAAGCACGGAACCCAATGAACCGCATCAAGGGGGAAGCTCGTTTTACGATATTGTTGACAATTGATGCTCCAGGACATTTTCAAACATCGATGTTCAGTATCAAACATCAATGTTCAAGGAGTTCTTTTTTTTTTACAATTTTTTTGAAGTGCTTTTTGTTAATGTCAAAAGGGGGAAGATATAAAAGTTATGCATAGATTGAGGGGGAACTATTTCTAAATTGCATTTATTAAGGGGGAACATTTTTTAAGTCTCAAATCAATCCTCCTATGCATAACCAAAGATGATAAGAAAGAGCACTTATTCTAACATCCCCGGCCTCCCCTACAAAGGCGACGATGTCTCCCACTATGGCGGAGAGGACTGGGTGCTCAAAAGCGAGGGCCTGATCCTCAACGAGCTTGGCATCACCGAGCTCATCCGCCATGTAACACCCCAAAACATACCCTAGAATTATTAATAAATAAATAATAAATTAATCAAATTTGTTTTGATTAAAAATAATTTATTGTTAGACTGCCGAAAAAATATGTGTTTGATATCCAATATCTTAATCTGGATAAATCTCATAGAAGTAAATCCAATATGTTGACTAATTGTGTAATCTTGGTTGGGAACCTGAGTACAAACCCAAAATCAGTAATAAATGAATAATGTGTTTATGATGTAAACTTTAAAATGATTTATTGAAATAAATCATGAGAATAAATAAAATGAATTTAGTATGAGTACCTTTTTAAGTAAAGGTCAAGTAAATGAATTTTGACTTTGTCAAAGTCAACCACCCAAAAATATGATGTCGGAAAAAGTATTACAAATAATTATGAAAAGTATATCGTTGGATAGAGCTCGATTGTCTGATCGCAACGGTGCAAACAGATTTCAATTTGGAGAAAGTTGGACCAAAAAGTGTACCCCGACTGGACCAAAATAGGTCCCAATCAGGGAACTGTTTAGAGGGCGCCTCCTTCCCCACTACGCCGATCGCAGAATTGTGGAGTCACTATAGCTGTTTTCTTCTTCTCTCCTTCTCATTATATAAGAGAACCCAACCTTCTCATTTCTTCTCCATTCTTCTTCATTCTTCTTCCTAAGTGTTCATGAAAGTGTGAGGAGTGTTTTGGTGCTGTCAATTTGGTGTGAAGTCGCTGGAGTTGGGAGAAATACTCGGTGGAAGTTTCGCCGGAAAATTTTCAAAACCTTCGTTTGGCTTCGAGGTAAGCCCGTAGATATATCTAGCGACTAGAATGTTCATATAGGTCGTTTCTACGTTCGTAAATGGTCATTTGGTTGAGTTTTGTGTTTGACATGCTTAAAGAACTAAGAATCATAAACCATGAAATTGATGTGAAAATTATGAATTAATGATGCTAAAATGATCCATGAACCTTGGAGAACATTTTTATATACTTTAATTGAAGTTTGGGAAGTAAAAATGACATTTGCGCAAGATGACTCGAGGTAGAAGACGATGAACAGTCGATTATCAACTTGAAAACCGACTGTAGCTTGTTTTGCAGATTTTTGGAACAGAGCTGAGCAACAGTCAACTGTCAGAATGTGACAATCGACTGTCAGCCCTGTCTGAAGTTTGATAATCAATTATCAGAGTGTGATAATCGATTATCAGCCCATTCTGAACATCAGACAGTAGATTATCAGAAGTGACAGTAGACTGTCTCCCTACACTATTGAAGAAAATGAAGCTAATAGTTAATAATTGAATTTCCTATCATATATTAATCAATTATTGTTTAGAAAACATGAGTTTTGAACTATGAAATCCTATTTTTGATACCAATTAACTATACACAATATAAATATGATTTTGTATAATAAAAATGATATTTTTGGCATATAAAATACTATGTGATGCATGACGGTAAGTTCGGGTGTTAACACTCGAGACTAGGCCGCTGTTTGTTATCAAATGTTATGTTGATTGATGATTATGATGAATGATTATTATGATGATTATGACTTGATGCAACTACTGATTAAAATGATTATTGAAGATTAAATTATGAATTGAAATGAATATGTTGATGATTAGGAAATGATTTGAATTCTAAGGATATCTAGAAGAACTCTAAGATATACCTTGGTTGACATTGGTTTCTAAGACTATCTAGAAGACCTCTAAGATGGCTTAGAAATAGGCCTTTCGGGTATAATTATGAATATTCGGTGGCCTGGGTTAAAACGTACGTACGCGATCTACAAACCAAACTAGAGGAACTCGTTTGGGGATAACACCCAACCCGACAGTGAGCATTCCGCTGTTCGGTTTCTGGATGACCTTAAGCGAAGGTAAGTTTAAGATTTTGAAAACCTCTTTTTGAAAATTTGTATCTTAAACTAGGCCTAGCTTAGGAGTTAGTTAAGAGTACCTTAAACTCGAATATAGTTTAAATATCTTAAACTAGAATTCGTTTAAGAGTTGGTAAACATCAAATAGATTGGCCTTAGACTAAGAATAGTTTAAGGATATTATTGAATGAGGATGTTGAATGTCTAATATGAATATTGAATGACGAATGTTGAATATTGATTATTGTATATTTGAACTAAATACTTTGTGCATGATATCAAATGATTTGATTATGAATTTGGGTTCAATTTATATGGATGTTCGACGCTTTAGATATGTTTACTCAGCTTCACCGCTGATGGGTAATAACCCATGGATACCACCCGGTTGGTTCACCCGACTGGGTGGTGTTGGAAGTGACAGCACGCACCCTTCTTAGCCCGGGTTATTTGACCGGTTGGATGGGAAGGCCGGACGCCAATACCTGAAGATCTATTTTTCAAGTGCGCCTGGTTGGCCGGTCAGCCGCCTGACCGGTTGGATAATGAGAGACGTGCTTGACGTGCTTAGGATTATTATAAATACCCCTAAAAGCCTCATTTGTGAGGCATGCTTTAATTAACCTACACGGCTTGTATTTGTAATAACTCCTATTATCATTAATAACGAATCGGGTTACAGGTGTTTCCACCTACAACCCTTCTGATCACTTACACTTAGCATTTGCGTGGTAATTTACTCCATCAAATTGGCGCCATCCATGGGACCCATTACAAAAAGTCATGACAAGCAATCAAGAAACCGTCATCTCACAAATCTCTACTCCCGTTGAGAACGTCACCTCGTTCCCAGGAGGGAGTGCACAACCCTCAAACCAGATTCCAACCCCCATCATCACCATTCCAACACCTACTCCATTCACTTCCCTCGTCACCTCTATCCCTATTTTTTCTCCAAATTTTCCCGGGCCCATGGACCCGCTGTTTTCACAGGCATTCCAAAATTTTGGGCAGTTCATGTCCATGTTTCAGCAGCCGGGAGGATTTTCACCTTTCATTCCCGGGTTATACCCACAATCCTTGCCCCAAACTAATATCATCCGCCCGGTCGCTCCAACAAATCTTATCGGAGAGATGGACAAAGCTGGTCCGTCCCGGTCCAGAAGGAGTCGGTCCCGAAGGTCACGCACGCAGATCACGCCTGATGGCGATGTGCGATTAGTCCATAGCAGGGATGAGGATTGGGATGTACCCTAGGCACAAAAGAAGCTGAAGGGAAAAGCTATTCAACCTGAAGGATCCAGGAGGTCAGCGTTTCAAAGGCATGGCCCCGAGGGGCCGAGCAACCTGGTCGGACCGGGCGCACGGAACCTCCCCATCGTGAAGAGCCCCAGCACAGCCGGGCACCGTGAGAGGAAGAAGCAGAAAGCCACCCGAGGCACACGACCCATATCGAACAACCCCGGGATCGTGTGGGCCGGGTAGAGGCATGTTTGGACAAACTACAGCGCCGAGTAGACAGGGACGAAAAGAAGAAAATCCTGCTAAACGAATCTCCGTTCACAGACCGGGTTCATGAGACCCCATTTCCAAAAAAGGCGAAACTTGAAGTCCCAAAGTTCACCGGGAAGGAGGACCCGGAAATACATGTCAAAACCCTTCACCAAAGTGGAAGGATGATGGGCCTTTCCGGGGACGAAAAATGTTTACTTTTCTTCCAAAGCCTCCGCGGCCAAGCCGCTGAGTGGTTTCATAACCTACCAGCCGGTGAGATCGATTCTTTCGATGAGCTGGCCGAGGTGTTCCAAGAGAAGTTCAAGGAAAACTGCACCAAGAGGAAAAAGTTCACCTACTTGAGCACGGCCGGGCAGAGGGAGCACGAGGATTTAACGAAATTCCTCACCCGGTGGAAGGATGAAGTTGATAAAGTCGAGGAGATGGACGACAAAACCGCCATGTCCCTCCTAGTGTCCGGACTCCAGTCCGGAGAATTGTATAAAGAGTTCTGCAGGAGACCTCCCCAATCATACCAAGAGGCCTACAACACGGCCTGGGATTATGCTGACGCCGAAGCACGGGTGTCATCCAAGAGGGAGGCCGAGCAGGGCCATTCCAAAAGAAAAACTTTCCTTGAAAAAGGAAATTGAACAGCCCGGGAGAGCGAAGGCAGAAGTCGTGGAGGTTAAGCCGGTCAAATCAGAAAAGAACCCGACCGGCGAGAAACAATGGACGGAGAAGTATTGCTCCTTCCACAAAACTGATTCCCATAACACTACGGAGTGTAACAGTGTGAAGGGCGTAATTAAGCAGATGATCGAGGCCGGGGAGATCGATCGTGAGTATCTAGCTCAGGCCAAGCAAAAGAAAAACCAATGGATCAGGCCTGAAGGGAAGCCGGTCGAACAGAATAAGAAGAAGAAAGCACCCAGTAAAGAGCATTTGCAGGTCATCTACGGTGGACCGGAAGGGAGAGACTCTGCTTCCCAAAGGAAGAAATGGGGGCGAGAGCTCTACGTCGGGACGGTGGCCCTAAATCCCCGGTCAAAACAAGCAAGACGGGAGCCGACCACCTTTACTGACCGGGACCTCCCCGCCACCGGAGAAGATCACAATGACCCCTTGGTCATAACTATGGACATGGGTGGAGTTGATGTTTCCCGGGTACTCGTTGACACGGGCAATAGTGTCAACGTTTTGTACTTGGATGCATTTGAAAAGCTCAAGTTGTGTCGGACACGGCTTGAGCCCTTAAAGACTCCCCTGTCCGGGTTCACCAGGGACTCTGTTGAAGCTGAAGGTTCAATCCTTCTGACTTGTGAGTTGGGCACCGCAGACCAGGTCGTCCAAAAACAAATGAGGTTTGTGGTAGTGAACATCAAATGTGTTCACAGTGCCATCCTAGGCCAGCCTGGAATAAACAAGGTCCGTGGAGTCATCTCCATGGCCGACCTCTGCATGAAGTTCTATACCTCGGGTGGTATCGGACAAGTGAGACGAGACCAAAAGAAGGCCTGGTCTTGTTACTTGGAGGCCGTAAAGAAAATGACCAAGGCATTTGAGAGGGTTACCTTGGTTTCCCAGGAAGAAGAGCGATCAAAACTGGAGCCGTGTGATGAGACCGAGCAGATTGTTCTCTGGGAGGCTTTCCCGGAAAGGATGGTGCGAATTGGCCAGGATCTGCCTGGGGGACTTCGAGAGGAAATCATCTTAGTCCTTCGGGAATATGCAGAGATTTTCGCCTAGAGTGTGGCGGACATGCCAGGCATAGATCGTTCTGTCATATGCCACCGTTTGGCTGTGATGGAAGGTAGCCGGCCTGTGAAGCAGAAGAAAAGGCACTTGGCAAGCGCCCGAAGGGACTTTGTGAAGAAAGAAGTGAAGGATTTGCTGGCGGTCGGGGACATAAGAGAAGTACAATACCCGGCCTGGTTGGCAAACGTCGTCCTGGCACCCAAAGGCGGCACCTGGCGCATGTGCGTGGACTACACGGATCTGAACAAGGCATGCCCCATGGATTCATACCCGCTGCCCAGTCCCTATCAGATGGTCGATGAGACAGCCGGGTGTGAGTTGCTGAGCTTCATGGGTGCCTTCAAAGGCGATCATCAGATCTTCATGGCCGAGGGAGACGAGGAGAAAACCTCTTTCTTAACTCCTCAAGGCACTTATTGCTACCGGGTGATGGTCTTTGGACTGAAGAACTCGGGCGCCACTTATCAGAGGATGGTAAACCGGCTTTTTAAGCCACTCCTCGGTAAGTCCATGGAGGCCTACGTAGATGACATGCTTATCAAGAGCCCGGGTGCGGCAAACCATCCGGCAGATATGAGGCTTTGCTTCAAGATTATGGCTAAGTACAACTTGCGTCTCAACCCCAAGAAATGCGTCTTTGCTGTAAAGACCGGTAAGTTTCTGGGGTTCATGGTGACCAAGCGAGGTATTGAGCCTAATCCTAAGAAGATTAAAGCCATAACTGAGATGAGGTCGCCCAGTTCGCTGAAGGACGTGCAATGACTCACCGGGCGGTTGGCAGCTTTAAGCCGTTTTCTCTCCCGGTCCGCTGAGAGGGCTCTGCCTTTCTTCAAAGTTCTGAAGAAGGCCAACACATTCGAGTGGGACCGGGAGTGCGAGGAAGCTTTCCAGCAGCTGAAAGAGTACTTAGTTTCTTATATAGTTCTGTCCAAGCCCAAACCGGGTGAGACTTTGTACTTGTATCTAGGAATTTCCCAAAACGCTGTAAACTCTGTCTTAATAAGAAATGAAGACGACCAGAGGCCTATTTACTATGTGAGCAAAGCACTTAATGGGGCAGAAAGCCGGTACACTGCCATTGAGAAAACAGCATACGCACTTTTCATAACGGCCAAAAAACTGACCGCGTACTTCCAAGCTCACACTGTGGAAGTACTAACCGATCAGCCACTTGGGCCGGTCCTCCGAAATTCAACCTCCTCGGGACGATTGATCAAGTGGGCGATGATGCTCACTCAGTTCAAAATAGAGTATAAACTAAGGACCACAATCAAGGGTCAAGCTTTGGCAGACTTCCTCGTCGAACTGACCGGTCTAGAGCCCGAAGCCGGACCTTCCCATACGGTCGAACCGTGGTGGGATATGGCCGTTGATGGGGCCTCTGGACCGAAGGGATGTGGAGCCGGCATAGTCTTCACTACTCCAGAAGGGTTCAAAATCTACCATGCCTTGGTTTTCAATTTCAAGCTTACCAACAATGAGGCGGAGTATGAGGCACTAGCCGGTGGCCTTAGACTAGCCCGGGCACTCGGAATAAAGAGAATGAGAATTCGTTCCGACTTAAGTCTTGTAGTTGGATAGATCAATGGCGAGATGGAGATCAAAGAGGAACGTCTAATTGGGTAGATGGAACGGTGAGAGTAAAAGAGTTTCAACTTCCAAGAAGTTGAAAAGTGGAAGGAATCTTTTACCAATTACCAATGAATTGAAACTGTTCCAATTTGAAAATCAGTTTCGTTTGGTTTGAGAACCATAACTATTTCAATTTGGCTAAGCCCAAAAGAGTGACCCAAAAAGAAAAGAAAACTATGTACTAAAGGGAAATTATTCCTATTGGGTTCTCAAGGCCCAAAATAAAACTATCATTTTTCATTCCCTATAGTTCTAATTTCTACTTTGGACGAGGTAGTACCAAAACAAATATGAATTTTATTTTTAAAAGAAAAGTGGTACTATTTTTCCAAAGTCCTGTACATTTTAAAAATCTTAAGGACCAGTACTTTTAGAGCTTGTTGGAAATGAATTAAGGACTGAAGCTTAGTTTAAGAAGGCAGATTTTGTAAAGTACCTGAATCAGAGATTTCCAATTTTAGTACCAAAACTGAGATATCCGTCTTCCATTGCTTAGAGCTTATCAATAATTCATTGCCAAAAACAATTGTTAGCCAAAAACTAGTTAAGTTCCCCCTGAATTACATTTCCCCTGAATGTATGCGCTAGGAATAAATCTCAAAAACATACTTGAATTAGGTATAATCAAGCATAGTAAGCACAATTAAGAGAAATATTAAGGCAATGTTTAAACCAATAAAGCAATGTTTAAACAAGAAGGTGTTTTCATCAAAGAAAATTAATGTTTTCACATACTTTTCCCCCTTGGTTTGATGAAAAAAGAAACCTTCAGTGCTTCTTGCGCTTAGAAGATTCGGCAATCTCCCTGATGCCTTGCATGTTTCCACATAGTTCTTTGATGCGCTTTATGTTGTTGCGTCTCTCCTCTGTTTGATTTTCATTTGAGAAGTGAGCAGCAGTTGTTCCTACAGCCTCTGTTCCATCCAATCCGGAGCTGGATAAGCGCTGTGTTGAGTTTTCCGGATTGCTTCTCTGAGCTTCAAGGACTAGATCAGTCAAGTTTAGATGCGTAGGAATGTAAGAGACTTCTCCTTCTTTGACTGCAATGGGGAGCTCTGGAATCAAGGATGGACTGTGTTGTTGAAGAACCACTTCCATCTTGCGATTTCCAGAATTTGTGGTAAGAAGTCTGAATAGTTTGAGTGCTTCCTTCTGATTGTCAATGATTACCTTTAAGTAGTCTTTGGTTACTACTTGATTTGCTGAAGACACTGCCAGAGCTGCTCTGATGTCCATTTGGAGAATGGACATTTGTTTTTGTAGACTGATTGTGACATTTGGTATTTGCTCTCTGATGTTGTTAGCCTCCTTGAGTTGAAGATAACTGTCAGATGCATATGTCTCCATCGTGTTGCTCACAGTGTTACTCAATAGAGATAAGATCTCTAGAGTTTTATCCACTGATTTGCTTATCTCCTTGAGATTGGAGCAGTGTGTTTCTTCGGATTTCTCAATCAGTTTGTTGTGCCTGGCTTCCATCTGCTCTATCTCTTGCTTGATGAGAAGAGAGTGTTCTTTGGAAGAGTTGCATAGGAAGAGATTCAGCATCATCTTGTACATCTTCTTCATCATTGATCTTCAGGGTCCTTTCAGATTCTTCTTCTGCTTCCCCAAGTGTGAAATTTGATATATCCCGAGAGAGGGAGTCTCTTTCTTCAGCTTCATTCTGTCCTTCAAAAATGGCTACTGGAGATTTGGAGGCCTCCAGTTCTTCCATTTGAGTTTCCTTCTCAGCTTCTGCAGAACTTCTCTGGGCTTCTACAGCTTGCTCTTCTTGAGCTTCATTTGTTTCTGGAGTTTTGGACATCTCCAGATTTTCTGCTGACTTCTCCGGGATCTCAGTTTCAGTAGGATTTGTGAGAATCTCTAAAGCTTCAGAATGGAGAAGTTCGTTGCTGTAATTCTTCATTTGATCCTTCCTGGTTCTGTTTTTGTGGAGTAGAGACTGCCGCTTCAGGTGGAACAGTTTCAAGGGCAGATGAGTTTTCTGGAAATATTTGGAAATCCTCAGCTGTTGTTTCCAAGTTAGCCTATGCTTCAGAAGTGAGAACCACCTGATCTTCTGTGGTTTTTTAGAGGACTGGTTTGTATACTGCAGGATCCTCATCATCCACTTCAAACTCTGAAATTGGTGAGGTCACCAAGTGTTCCAGATGCAAATCTTCATAGTTCCTTTGCCATACCCAGTCAACATCCAGAATTTGCTCACAGCAATAGTTGACTGGCAGACCTAAGCATTTCTTGATGATCTTCTCATTCTTCAATTGCTGGTCCCAACTCAGCAACTGTTCTGCTGAATTTCCAACTTTCTAAGCTCTCCAGTCATAGTAGAGCTGCCGGAATTGATTCTCAGCATCATCTACTTGAGGTTGTGAGGAAGTTGGAGAATTCTGAACTTGAGGAAATTCTTCTTCAAGTTGTTGAGAACTCCGGTTGTGGGCAGAGGTTTCCTCAGTTGGTTCCTTCTCCTTCAACTCATCCGGATTGACATGTCCAGATGTTGAGGGAGAGGTGATTTTCCTCTTCTTTTTCCTTTGTAGTTCTCCTTGGTCAGAGAATTCTTCTTCTTCTTCAAGATTGATTGGAGCAAGATTCTGTGGTGCTTCAGTACTGCGAGAGGGAGACACCACTTGCTTCCTCTTTACTGATTTGTTCAGACTCATGATAAGGACATTATTTGAAAAACTTTCCTCTGCAGTTGTGCTAGCACCATCTCTGTTTTCCCCTTTGGAAGACAGATAGTACAGCCAATATCTAGCTTCATACTTCTTTCCTTCAGAAGCAGCACCCAAGGACTCCAAGATATGTCCAATGTACAGACCTTGACAAAGGTATTTCTGGTTGGGTTTTCCCAGATGCTTTGAGATGGAATTGAAGAAATGAGCAGCCCAATTTACCTTAGACTTGGTAATGAGGGCATTGATGATGAAGGCCCTCTCTTGGGTGATGTCATCAGCATGTCCTCCACTTCCACATTCGAGGCATGCGATGACCAGTTCAAGGACTAGCTTGTAGTCGTTGTTCA